ACAATATATTAGTTAGCAGATAGAAAAAAACTAGTAGAGCTGTGCATTAGTTAGCAAATAGAAAAAAACTAGTAGAGCTGTGCGTAGAGTGTACTAGGTACATCGAGCACACTCAATGAGGAATAGCTATGGTTAACTATTATTACACGAAACGTATAGTCCCTGCCGTGTGAGAGCTTTGAAACGTATTGCCTGATATTTAACTCACACACCTGGTGTTCTTTGGTGTATAAGAAGCTAAAAACAACATAACCTTCTATCGAAAATCTACATTTTCAAACAGTTTTACTAAATACAATTTATGATTGTTTAAAAAAAGAACACTCAGACAAAAAACTCAGAAAACTGAAGATATCGTAACATTTTTAAAACTTTTGTTAAACTGTGTAATACCAGTCTCCGTAGAGACCGTCAAAAATTGCCAATGCCGACTATATTTCAAGTCGTCACGGCGGGGTATTGGGAAAAGTTTTCAATTAGCAATAATCGCGCCTCGGATAAACCTCATTGGCTACGATATTGCCACTGCGCAAAGCTAATCTGTTGTAGCTTGCGCCCCATTCCCCCACGGATGACAATAGCCTTTACAATGAGGGTAGTCAACTGCCAGTCTGTTCGTCGATATAAACCGTTCCCATTCCGTCAATCACATTTATAGCCCGTCTGCGTGGCAGGTTTCTTATTGTTGGATCATCTTGCGTGGAACATTCTGATTTTGCAAAGGGCAGAGCACCCGCGTAGGATGCTGGGGATTCTTATGCAAATAAGCCAGACGTCATTGAGCTGCCGGTGGAGACCTGAATTTTTTGTGATAACAGCGGCGGGAAAGCGAGGGTGAGCTGTACGGGTGAAGGGGTAGAAACGAGTAGCTGGATGAGGAGGTGCGGAAACAGCAGACAAGGCCCGGAGGGAGTATTTTCAGAAAAGGAAAACTAATATTACAAATGCCATCAGCATGGCAAAGGCAGATGGAGAAAAATAGAATGGCGCATGGGCAAAGAAACCCTGGTGACACAGTAAAAGGACCTACGCTGCTAACCGAAAGGTTGGCGGTTCGAACCCACCGCTCTGGGGGAGCAAGATGTGGCAGTCTGCTTCCGTAAAGACTTGAACAGCCTTGAAAACCCTATGGGGCAGTTCTAACTCTGTACTTGGGGTCGCTGTGAGTTCTTACTGGACGGTTTTTTTCTTTTTCTTGGTAGACAAAACAGGACAAGAATAAGAAAATACAGCGGGTAAAAAAACTTTCTTATCAAACGAGTAAAGTTTGTCATAAATTAAAAACAGAAATAGAAAAACTTTTTAGAGAAAAAAGACTTTAACACCCAACAGACTCCACAATAATAACATAGTATTACTATGTTTAAAAGCTCATAGAACAGCTAGAAACTGAAACCTATTTTTTTAAACCATCTTATTCAGTCTCCGTAGAGACCGTCAAAAATTGCCAATGCCGACTATATTTCAAGTCGTCACGGCGGGGTATTGGGAAAAGTTTTCAATTAGCAATAATCGCGCCTCGGATAAACCTCATTGGCTACCATATTGCCACTGCGCAAAGCTAATAAGCACCGCCCCCTGCTCATCATCCCCAATCAGCAAGGTTCCTATTTCAGAAAGGCGAGTTTCAGACTCATGGAATTACTGTTTTGTTGAAAATTATACAATCATATAAAGTCTTTCTGAAATGGAGAGAAGGTTCTGAGATTCTATTCTTAGTTTCACTTTACAAGGTTTTTGCGGAAAATGAAGCAAAGCATTATGGGAGTGAACATGTTAATAGCCTTAATTCAGGGAATGCGAGCGGCGGTTGAGAAATGGGGTCATTCACATCAGGTTTTCTCGTTGTCACTGCTGTTCACTTGGCTCCTGATTCACAGTGTAACTATGGTCTCCAAAAGAGTTTTCTGTGGACGTCTTAATTCAGAGAGAAGGCCAAAAGAAAGTTTTTTTTCCACAGAAACGTCCACATTACATGAAATTTGAGGTAATTTTCACCCTTACCGCCTATTTTCCTTTGGCAGGTGGAAAGCTGTTAAGAAACCAATACCTGGTCTGTTTCCCTCACCTATATTCTCCAAATGCTTTTATTTTGATTTTTGCCACTTACTAAGATGCAAATAGTGGTTTATGAGAAAGTGACATTTTCCCTTAACATTTTATTATGGAAGATTCCAAACACAAAAAGATCAGAGAATTGCTCAGTGAACATTAATGTACTCATCACCTAGGTAAGAAAATGATATATATTTTTTTCAGAGTAAGAACTCAATAAAGGATAGCTTTATTTTATTTTTTTCTTGCTCATCTTTTCATAGATTTTTTTATATAATTTTATTTATTTTTCTTGTAGTTGAGAATATACACAGCAAAACATACACCAATTCAACACTTTCTCCGTGTACCATTTAGTGACATTTATTGCATTATTCGAGTTGTGCAATCATTCTCGCCCTCCTTTTCTGAGTTATTCCTCCCCCATTAACATAAACTCACTGCCCCGTAAGATTCCTGTGTAATCTTTTGAGTTGCTGTTGTCACTTTGATCCCATATAGATAGTTCTTAAAAGAGCATAATGCTCAAGGCAGACGTTTTTTACTAGTTAAGCTAAACTGTTACTCGGTTTTAAGAAGACTTCAGGGGATGTTTTCTGTTTAAGGTTGAAAGATTATCTCAGGGCAATAGTTTCAAGGGTTCTTCCAAACTTTATGGCTCCAGGAAGTCTGGAGTCCATGAGAATTTGAAATTCTGTTCGCATTTTCCCTCTTTTCATAGAAAATGACATTTTTAAAGGTCTGTTTGATGCTAATGGGTAGTTAATTTTTTCATTTAATTTTATTTTTTGGGCCACAGCATTAACTGCCAGGGTAGAAAAAAACAACAGAAAAACAAACAAAGCCTAGCAATCTGGTTAATTTTGATTATTTTACTTTGACGCAATCAAAGACTGAGCCATTAATTCCAGGTGAGTGGAGAAAAGGACTGGCTTTTGTGAGAAATAAAAAAGCCACAGTGCTAATCCCACAGGATTATCGCAAGAACTGCCCAGACGGTGAGAAAGGCTTGATTGGGTGGGGTATTACACCCTGTCAGTAGCTATCAAGGGTAATTGTGCATTTCACTAGCTGTCTTGGGTGACTTCATTCTCCACAGATGACTTTCCAACACTATAAGAAAAAATTTAAACTCAGCTAAATTCTCTCCAGAGCATTTCTGGTGCCTAACAGCAAAAGACTCCTGCAACTCCAGCCAGCCTCTATATTAATGATATTCATTCCACTTGGAGATCTGAAAAAAAGTAACATGGACTTGACATTTTTCATAATAAAATGTTGGGGGAGGATGTCACCATAATGGCATTTTCATAGATTTTTATCAAATAACCTTGTGTACAGAAAGTACAGATACAGGTGAAAGGGTACAACTCTGACACACTTTTCTTGACTTTAAAGCACAAAGTATCCACTTCTTGTGTTCAAATGACTGCCTCTTGATCTATCTACAGGTTCCTCATGAGCACAATTAAATGTTCTGAAATTCCATTCTTCTCAATGTTATCCACAATTTGTTACGATCCACACAGTCGAATGCCTTTGCATAGTCACTAAAACACAGGTAAACATCTTTCTGGTATTCTCTGCCTCCAGCCAGGATCAATTTGACATCAGTAGTGATATCCCTGGTTCCATATCCTCTTCTGAATCTGGCTTGAATTTCTGGCAGTTACCTGTCGATGTACTGCTGCAACCGATTTTGAATGATCTTCAGCAAAATTTTACTTGCGTGTGTATTAATGATATTGTTCAATAATTTCCACATTCGGTGGGATCACCTTTCTTTAGAATAGGCATAAATATGGACTTCTTCCCATTGGTTGACCAGGTAGCTGTCTTCCAAATTTCTTGGCATGCACAGAGGAGTGAGCAGTTCCAGCGATGCAGCCGTTTGTTGAAACTATGATAGATATGTTTGTTGAAGCATAACAACGATTGTTTGGATGGCGCAGGGCTGGGCAGTGTTTCATTCTGTTGTACACAGGGTGGCTATGAGTCAGAACCAACTCGACTGCACCTAACAGCAACAACAACGGAAAGTACACTGAATCACAATTTTTTTATTTGATGTAAGTTTCCAGTCTACATTTTGGTTCTTTCTTTCAGCCAGTGAGGTTGGGTTAACTAAAGCACGAAGGGCTGTCAGGTGATTTTCCTAGCCTAGTAGATTCTACAGCTAGTGACCCCTGTGAGCTGCTGGTGGAGTTAAAAAAAAACAAACAAAAAACAGTTATTATCGAGTGTATCAGAGTAAACCTGTGCTCCACAGGGTTTTCAGTGGCTGATTTTTCAGAAGTAGACTGCCAGGCCTTTCTTCCAAGGTGCCTCTGGGTAGACTCAAACCTCCTACCTCTTGGTTAGCAGGCGACTGTGTTACAGAGATTCCTTCCTCCAAAATACTAACCTGTGTCGCTTTCCCAGTACTTACGTCCATGCATACAACGATTCAAACTATCTCCAGCTTCTGTTTTGCCCCTCTGAGCTCAATTTCATCTTTAAAATGGCAAGGGAGAGAGGGGCAGTCTCAAAGGTTTCTGCTGGCTCTCTTGTGTTTGTGTTCTAAGATACTTATAGATTGTTTCATGTCTTACTTAGGCAATGCTATAAAGTAGCATTTCACACTGGCTACACTTTGGAAACACCTGGCAAGTTTGTAAAACAAATTAATGCCCAGGCCTCTCCCCAGACCAATTAAATCAGAATCTCTCCTTTAACTTCTTCAAAGTAAAAGTACAAGATGAGAAATAAAACTGGAAAAGCCAAGTGATCAAACACATTAGTACATGCGTATTATATTTGGCTTTTGTAAATTATTATTTTAATTGTAGTACAAATATACACAACAAAACATTCGTCAATTCAACAGTTTCTATATGCACAACAATCCAATGACATTGATTACAATTCTTCACATATTTGGCTTTAATTTTTCCGATATATGTGAATGCATTTCTTCACAACTCATTGTAAGATCTTTCTTTAGATTGTGCAACAGATAATTTGCCCCACTGCGAGATCTTTGACCAGTATCAGGGGACTTCATTCTGCCACGGTGAGTGGAAAGGATCATAAACACTGCAGCTGAGGACAAGTCAAATCTTTAGATCCATTATTAAAACTATTTTAAGAGAGAACGAATTCCTAAATTAGAGGTGTTTGGATTTACTATTTTGGACTCAGGACATTGGTAGCAAGGCTCTGACCCACTTCTCTGTCAACGAGACGAGGATATATTGGCTTGGTGTGAGCCGCAGACATCACAGAACCAAAGTTCAAAACCTCTGATTAGGGAGGGCAAACAGCGAGCAAGATTGGTAATCTGGCTCCCGCAATTGTAAACCCAAAGGATTGTGGGATTTGTAGTTTTTCTTAAATCATTTCCGCTTCATGAACTACATTTCCCAAGATGCAACTGTAGCCAGACGGCCCCGCTGTCCGGTGCGAAGTGTCCCTTTAAGATAAGTCTGTTCTGTGAGGGCTGCAGGTTTCTGTTGTGGAAAGTAAGGCGTTCCATTTCTCCTCGTTGCCCTTTGGTGAGACCTGCAAGAGAGAAGCGGCTTCAGTGGAGCGTGTTTGTAGCGGGGTTTCTCTAGCCTTTGGCCTCAGGAAACTCGTTAAGGTACTTGTTTAGCGGTTCACGTGTCACTGGGGAATGTCAAGGAGAAAGCGGGGTCCTGAACTCAGATCTGGAAAGCCAAGCATAAAATAATGTTTACACATGGGGTGCGTGTCACTAGACCATTCCTGCATTATATCAAATAATGTATCAAAGTCTTGTTTTTGCAGCTAGCAAAACTGACCTGTGAGGACAGAGCGTCTTAGCAGGTGACACTACTCTTTGCTGTGTCCAAGTAGCAGGGTAAACTAAAACAATATGGCAGCATGAAAGAAACAAAAAGTGTGCGTGTGCTTAATTACGTTGATAAAAGCCTGGAAGGTCTGAACAGCAACTTCTTCATCAAACCCTAGCATACTAACACTCAAATGTGCTTCTCTTAGCTTTTGGAGAAATGAGATAATTCTAATTTATAAAATGGGAAGTAGGTTTGTGGAACACATAGTCCCCCAAGGGATGGCATTTGCTAAAAATATGCTTAAATGCATTCCTCATATAGAGACATCTTTAGGTATAGTCATAGATGGAATAATAATGGGCTATTAGGGGATTTGGAGTCCCTGGGTGGTGGAGAACATTACACACTGGATTACTGGCTGAAAGGTTGGCAGTTTGAACTCACCCAGAGGCACCTGGGAAGACAGGGCTGGTGATCTGCTTCCGAACGGGCACACCCCTGAAACCCTATTGAGCAGTTCTACTCTGCACACATGGGGTCGCCATTAGTTGGAATTGACTGGAGAACAACATTAAGATTTTTAGAGGATATTGGGGTAAGCCATTAACCTTTTGAAGTTTTAAAGGAATTCAGTTCTGACTAGCCAGGTGTTAGTGGGAGAAACAGAATAGGCCTTATGCTGTGCTAGAATCCAGCTTTACCAGTTTTTTTCTTTAGCACCCCACCCTTTTTTAAAAACCAAAATATAGTTTCCCTCAGATGCAGAAAGCCTTGGCAGGTTCACCAGCCATTTTAAATTAATTTTCATCTGAAGGTGGTAGCAAGGTAAGAGCTCTGGCTGTGGGTTCTTAAGAGGTCGGAAGACAAGATGGGCTTAGGCTATTATGAAATAGTCTGGTGTGTATACAAGATTTTATTTGTGGAAGCTGTTAGAGGTTCTTTTTTTATTGTGCTTTAGATGAAAGTTTACAGAGCAAATTAGTTTCTCATTAAACAATTCATACACATATTGTTTGTGACATTGGTTGCCAACCCCATGACATGTCAATATTCTCCCCTTTCTCGACCTTGGGTTCTCCATTACCAACATTCTGTCCTCTTCTGCCTTCTTGTCCTTGCCCCTTGGTTGGTGTCCCCATTTAGTCTCATTTTGTTTTATGGGCCTGTCCAATTTTTGGCTGAAGGGTGAACCTCAGCAGTGACTTCAGTACTGAGTTGAAGGGGTGTCCGCCGGCCATACTCTCAGGGTTTCTCCAGTCTCTGTCAGGCCAGTAAGTCTGGTCTTTTTTTGTGAGTTAGAATTTTGTTATACATTTTTCTACAGCTCTCTCTATTGTGATCCCAGTCAGAGCAGTCGGTGGTTGTAGCCAGGCACCATTTAGTTGTGCTGGACTAAGTCTGGTGGAGGCTGTGGTTCGTGTGGTCCATTAGTCCTTTGGACTAATCTTTTCCTTGTGCCTTTGGTTTTCTTCGTTCTCCCTTGCCCCAGATAAGGTGGTTATTAGAGGTTCTTGGGAAAAAAAAAGGAAAAGATTATTTAGGAAGCATTGAGTATCTGTTAATGGTGATGGAAAATTTATCAGTGGATGTCAGTGATGGTTGCACATGATGAATAAATCTCACTGAATTTTACACTGCACGTGTAAAAAATGTTGAATCAGCAAATGTGTTATATATATATTTTTACAACCACCACCAAAAAAAAAAGATTGTTTTAGGTTGGACTTAATAGGACCCATGAAACTTTACTAGAACCAGAATGTACCTGTGAGAACTGGATTGTTAAATATTTAGCATTTTTGCTAGCTGCTTGTTAAATCATTGGTGGCTTGACACTGGCTGTGATGGGAGTATTTCTTTTTTTTTCTGGGGGGGTGGGAGCAGGCAGTAGTGGTGGAAGGGAGCTGCTTTACCAGTACACCCCTGGCAAGGGTCTGTGTTCTCAGGTCTATGAGCCTGGAGTCCCAGTGTTCAGTGCATCCTTGAGTTATCAGATCCTGAACTAGCTCACACCCTTCCAGATTTCACACAAGATTGATTGTGATTACAAAGTAAAATTAGAAATACACTGTAGGTATGTGTCTGTGGAGGAGGGAAGGGGGCTAACTGTACCTTTGTTTTTATCAAAGAGAAACCTTATACCTTTTAGCCATTACCCCCTCAGTGCTCCCATCCACCCACGCTTTAGACAACCAGTAATCTTTCTGTCTCTATGGATTTGCCTATTCTGGACATTTTATGTAAATAGAATCATACAACATATGGCCTTTCCTGTCAACTTCTTTCACGTATCCTAATGTTTTCAGTGTTCATCCGCTTGGTAGCATGTATCAGTACTTCATTCCTTTTTATGGCCTAACGATATTCCATTGTATGGATAGGCCACATTTTGTGTATCCATTCATCAGTTAATGGTTGCCTTTGTTTTTTATAATTTATTTATTTTTGCTGTTGAGAATATACACAGCAGAGTTTGCCTTTGTTTTGAAAACACAGTTTCTCACTTGAGGTTTCTTTTTTTGTAGAATGAGGATGAGCTTTGGGTTGACTGTCAGGTCTGCACAAGGCCGCTGGACCCCAAACGCCAGCCGTCAGTGCTCGCATGGATCTGTTGGGTTATTTGTGCCTGCAAGTTCTCCTTTGGACCCTGAGAAGGTGAAAGAGTTGCAGCGCTTCGTAACCCTTTCCAAGAGACTCCTAGTGATCACCGGGGCAGGCATCTCCACGGAGTCGGGGATTCCAGACTACAGGTCAGAAAGGGTGGGACTTTATGCCCGCACTGACCGCAGGCCCATCCAGCACTGGGACTTTGTACGGAGCGCGGCAATCCGCCAGCGGTACTGGGCAAGAAACTTTGTGGGCTGGCCACGGTTCTCCTCCCACCAGCCTAACCCCGCACACTGGGCTCTGAGCAACTGGGAGAGACTCGGAAAGCTGTACTGGTTGGTGACCCAAAATGTGGATGCCTTGCACACCAAGGCGGGGAGTCGGCGCCTGACGGAGCTCCACGGATGCATGCACAGGTGCAGGGAGGCGAAACGGTTTGAGCACAGACACCTGTGCTCCGAAACGGCGGGGAGGGGAGCGAGGACATTGCCTGTCATAATCACTGTTGTCTTATTTAAAAACCAGTTGCTTTCGAGTCAGTTCCGACTCATGACGACCGCATGTGTGTCAGAGTACACCTGGGCTCTCATACAGTTTTCAGTGGCTGACTTTCAAAGTTTTCTTTATTTTGAGAACAGCTGCCGTTTAATCTGATGAAATGTGGTTGGCGGTGACGGATGATGTTTGAACAAGCTGACTTTACAAAGTTAACAGCTCATGGGACTCTGAGAGCAGTCTCCTTTGCATGCTTTATTTTTTACTTTTGTAATAACATGTTACTGTGTTTTTGGTGAAGGTTTACACTGCAGTTTAGGTTCCCATTCAACAATTTCTAGACAAGTTTTTCAATGCCATTGATTACCTTCTTCACAATGTGTGAAATTTCTCATTGTTTCCATTCTCTGTTTTCCCATTTGTATTAATCTAGTTTCCCTGCCCCCTTACATACTCATCTTTGTTTTAAAGTAGTTGGTGACTGTTTGGTCTCATATAGGTGATTTTTTAAAGGAGCACAGTACTTACGAGTGATATTCATTATTTTTTGAGCCAATTTGTTATTTAGCTACAAGGTGACCTCAGGGGTTAGTTTTGGTTCAAGGTTTGAAGAGTATCTCAGGGTAGTAATCTCAGCGAGTCCTCCAGTCTCAACCAGTCCAGTAGGTCTGGTTTTTGTGGTTTTTTTTTTTTTTTTAGGAATTTGAGGTTCTGTTCCACATTTTCTCCAGTTCTATCAGGCTCCATCTATTGTGGCCCTGATCAGAACAGTCATGGTAGCCAGGTACCATCCAGTTCTTCTGGTCTCAGGGTAGATGAGGCTGTGGTTCATGCAGACTTTTTGTCCTGTAGACTAGTTTCTGGTTTGAATCTTTGGTTTCCTTCTTTCCCTTTTGGGCCTGACTAATAGAGACCAATGGTTGTATCTTAGATGGCCACTTGCAAGCTTTTTTTTTTAACATTTTATTGGGCTTTAGGTGAAAGTTTATACAGTAAATTAGTTTCTCATTCAAAAATTTATACACAAATTGTTTCATGACATTGGTTGTGATCCCCTCAATGTTTCAGCACTCTCCCCCTTACCTCCTGGAGCTCCCCTTTTCCATTCCTCTGGTTTTCCTGCCCCTTTCTGCCTTCTCCTCTTTGCTTTTGGGCAGGTGTTGCCTGTTTGGTCTCTATACTTGATCTAAGAAGCATGTTCCTCACGTGTGTTATTATTTGTTTTTTAGGCCTGTCTTTGGCTGAAAGGAACTTTGGGAGTGGCTTCAATTCTGGGTTAGAAGGGTATCTAGGGGATAGGTATACCACAATTGTAAATCCATTCTCTGGTTGATGAATTGTTGGAGTGTTTCTAGTTTTGGGCTCTTGTGAATAAAGCTGCTTCAACATTCTTGTACAGTTCTTTTGGGGACATTTGTTTTCATTTCTCTTGGGTATATGCCTAGGAATGGAGTTGCTGGATCATAGAGTAAATGTATGTTCAACTTTATTAGAAACTGCTAAACAGTTCTTCAAAGCAGTTGTAGCATATTACACTCTAACCAGCAATGTACAAAGGTTCCACTTGCTTCATATTCTCACCATCTTTTGATATTGTCAGTCTTTGATTTTAGCCTCTTGGAAGGTATAAAAATGGCATCTCATTGTGGTTTAAATTTGTGTTTCCTTGATGTCTAATGATTCTTAGCACGTTTTCATGAGTTTATTGGCCGTGTGTATATCTTCTTTTCTAAATTTTTGGTCAAATGTTCGATACTGGAAGACCAATGATGCAACTATATAAGTGATGTCTTTAGCAGGATGTGGCATTTTACCTGGGATACAGAAGGTTAAACCCAAAACGAGAAAATTACTCAGCAGTTCAAGCCTGGCATTGAAGTATCCTGGGGTTAAATTAAACTTTCTAGTAAAATTTTGTGGGAGGGCTCCCCTTCTGCCTTCCCAGCAGCTGCTGGCACTGAAGTGCCTCTGCCATGAATTGTTTTTTTTTTTTCAATTGTGCTGCAGGTGAAAGTTTACAGCTCAAGTTAGTTTCTCACTCAAAAATTTATGCGCATATTGTTTTGTGACATTGGTTGCAATTCACACAATGCGACAGCATGCTTGTCCTTTATACTCCGGGTTCTCTGGGTCCATTTCTCCAGTTCGTGTCTCTTCCTACCTTCTCGTCTTGCTTTTGGGCAGGAGTTGCCCATTTGGCCTCGTATATTTGAACTGAGAAGCACGTTCCTCACATGTGTTACTGTTTGTTTTATAGGTCTAATTTTTGTCTGAAAAGTGGGCTTCCGGGGTGATTTCAGTTCTGAGTTAGCAGAGTGTCCGGGGGCCCTAGCCTCAGAGGTTCCTCCAGTCTCTGTCAGACCAGTAAGTCTCGTCTTTTTTCATGAATTTGAATTTTGTTCTACATTTTTCTCTGGCTCTGTTTGGGTCTCTCTATTGTGATCTCTGTTGGAGTGGTCGGTGGTGGTAGCCCAGGCATCATATAGTTCTTCTGGGCTCAGGCTGGTGGAGGCTTTGGTTCATGTAGCCCTTTAGTCCTTTGGGCTAATATTTTCCTTGTGTCTTTGGTTTTCTTGCATTCTCCTTTGCTCCAGACAGGATGGGACTGATAGATGTATCTTAGATGGCTGCTTGCAAGCTTCTAAGACCCCAGGTACTACTCACCAAAGTAGGATGTAGAACATTTTCTTTATGAACTATGTTATGCCAATTGACCTAGATGTCCCCCGAGACTATGGTCCCCAGCCCTCAGCCCCAGCAGCTCGATCCCTAGAGGTTTTTGGTTGTGTCTAGGAAACTTCTGTGACTTTGCCTTGGTCAAGTTGTGCTGACTTCCTTATATTGTGTGTTGTTTTTCCTTTCACCAAAGTTAACACTTGTCTACTATCTAGTTAGTAATTTCCCCTCCCCATCGCTTCCCACCATCATAACCATCAAAGAATTTTTTTTCTGCATGTAAACCTTTTCTTGAGTTCTTTTAATAGTGATCTCGTACAATATTTGTCCTTTTGTGACTGACATATTTCACTCAGCGCAATGCCCTCCAGATTCATCCATGTTGTGAAATGTTTCACAGATTCATCATTGTTCTTTATTGTTGCATAGTATTCCATTGTGTGTATGTACCATAGTTTATCCATTCATCGGTTGATGGGCACCTGGGTTGTTTCCATCTTTTTGCTGTTGTGAATAATCCTGCAATGAACCTGGATGTGCATATGTCTATTCATGTGAGGGCTGTTATATTGCTAGGATATATTCCTAGGAGTGGGATTGCTGGATCCTATGGTATTTCTATTTCTAGCTTTTTAAGGAGGAGCCAAATTGTTTTCCACAGTGGTTGTACCATTTTACATTCCCAGCAGCAGTGGGTAAGAGTTCTAGTCTCCCCACAACCTCTCCAACATTTATTATTTTCTTTTTTTTTTTTTTGTTATTATTAGTGCCAGTATTGTTGGGGTGAGATGGTATCTCATTGCAGTCTTGATTTGCATTTCTCAAATGGCTAATGATCATGAGCATTTCCTCATGTGTCTGTTAGCTACCTGAATGTCTTCTGTGGTGAAATGTCTGCTCATATCTTTTTCTCATTTTTTAATTTGATAAAAATTTGTCTTTTTGTTGTTGAGGTGTTGAAGTATTTTGTAGATTTTAGACATTAAACCCTTGTCAGATATGTTGTAGCCAATTTTTTTTTTTCCCTAGTCTGTAGGTTCTCTTTTTGCTCTTTTGGTGAAGTCTTTTGATGAGCATAAGTGTTTAATTTTTAGGAACTCTCAGTTATCTAGTTTCTCTTCTGGTATTTGGGCATTGTTGTGGTTTGTATTCTGTTTATGACATGTGTTAGAGCCCTAGTGCTCTCAAGCTTTTAAGACTCCAGGCACTAGTCACCAAACCAGGATATAGGAACATAACTTTATGAACTATATTATGAATGGCTGATTTTTTGGAAGTAGATCGCCAGGCCTTTCTGAGACACCTCTGGGTTGACTTGAACCTCCAACCTTTGGGTTAACAGCTGAGCCGTTAACCATTTGCACTACCCCATAGACTCTGTTGTTTTAGTTAGACCCTGAGAAAAGGGCTTGGGAGCAAGTCGTTTATTTTGGAGTTGATCTCAGCAAGTTGAGTGAGGGAGTGGAGAAGTAAAGCGGGGAAGGGGAAGGGAGGAGAGCCAAGAAAAGGTGTGTTCTTGAGTGGGTTACCGCTTTGGGCAGCTGGGGCTCAATCCTACTAGGGGCCCTCTGAGAGACTGTCTAGAACGTGCTTCAGAACTGTCTCATTGAAAGCCGAGGAAGCTAGGGTATTTATCTACCATATACCATCCCTCATTGACTGAGGGTCACTCTTTTTTTTCTTTTTTTTTTTTTTTAATTGTGATTTGGATGAAAGTTTACAGAGCAAATTAGTTTCTCATTAACCAGTTAATACACAAATTGTTTTGTGACATTGGTTGCCAACCCCATGATGTGTCAACACTCTCCCCTTCTCCACTGCAGTTTCCCTGTTTCCATTCGTCCAGTTTTCCTGTCCCTTCCTGGCTTCTCATCTTTGCTTTTGGGCTGGTGTGCCCATTAGTCTCGTATGCATGATTCAACTATGAAGCACGTCACTCATGTTTGTTATTGTTGGCCCTATTGACCTGTCTAATCTTTGACTAAAGAGTGAACCTCAGGAGTGACTTCAGTGCTGAATTAAAAGGGTATCCGGAGGTCATACTCTTAGGGTTTCTCCAGTCTCCGTCAGATCAGCAAGCTTGGTCTTTTTTTTTTTTTTGTGAATTTGAATTTTGTTCTACATTTTTGTCCTGCTCTGTCCGGGACCCTCTATTGTGATCCTTGCCAGAGCAGTCGGTGGTGGTAACCGGGTATCATCTAGTTGTTCTGGGCTCAGTCTGGTGGAGGTTGTGGTAGTTGTGGTCCATTAGTCCTTTGGACTAATCTTTCCCTTGTGCCTTTGGTTGACGGTCACTCTTGGGTATTAACTCCCGAGCACTTTCACTCTGCTCCTCCTGAGAAGGCTCCCACGGCCAGAGAGCACCCTAAGAGTTGCAGGAAGCTGTGTGTAAGAGAACTCTGTGCAGGGGGTCTTGGGGTGGACTGAGGGGAAATGAGCAGGGCACTGACAGCATATGCTACAAGCTGCTGTGTCTCCAGTACCTAGACACGTGAAACACAATATATCTTGGCACCTGCTCAGAGCTGGTAAATATTGACTGAATGAACACATGGGAAGGGTATCATGCCTGTAATCCTGGGAGTAATTTGTAGCTAATTGGAGACCATATCCCCGACATTTAAGCCCCAGAGATCCTCCTTGAAGGACTGAATTGATCTGCCAATGGTAACATATGCATTGGGTGCCTTCTATGTGTATTGGGGTGCTACTTGATCGTGTGAAGGGGACCAAAACCATAGCATAAAATGACCTGCTTTACATGGGGGAACTTTGTAGTAATCTGTTTGCGGGACACAACAATAACTCATGTTTAAGAATGAACAACTCAAGGCAACACATGATTGTTAAATTATGTAGTCCTTGATATGATTGCAAGGAGCACTGGTGGTGCAGTGATTAAAGCGCTCTTCTGCCAACCGAAAGGTCGGCGATTCAAACCCACCAGCTGCTCCTCCGGAGAAAGATGTGGCAGTCTGCTTCCGTAAAGGTTTATAGCCTTGGAAACCCCGTAGGGCAGTTCTTCTCTGTCCTGTAGGGTCACTATGAGTCAGAATCGACTCGATGGCAATGGGTTTGCTTTGGTTTTGATATAAATGCTGTAGAAGTTCAGAGAAACACAGACTTAGTGAAGACTGGAGTAATCAGAAAAGCTTTTATGGATGAGGCAGATTGAGACTGGCTCAAGTTTGGCTAGGCAAAGCGGGAAAAGAGGGCTTTCTAAACGAAGGGAGGAGTCCCTGGGTGGTGCAAACGGTTAACGTGCTCAGCTGCTAACTGAAAGGTTGGAGGTTCAAGTCCACCCAGAGGCTCCTTGGAGGAAAGGCCTGGTGATCTATTTCTGAAACATCAGCCACTGAAAACCCTATGGAGCACAGTTCTACTCTGACACACATGGGGTTGCCATCAGTTGGAATCAACTCGACAGCAGCTGGTTTAAATGAAGAGAACTTGTAGAGCCCAGAGAAATCTGGCCTGGCCTCTCTGGAGGGCTTGGACTAGGGACCAGTATGTAATGAGATTGTCTGGGAAGGCTAGACCCAAATTGTGGATGCATTTAAAAATTATGCAGTGCAGTTTGAGCCTGTTAAGAGAGACCAAAGGGGACTATTAGTGGTTTCTGAGCAAGAAAGCAACATGATAAAAATAGCATTTGAGGAAGGCTAGGAGGATTAGAAAGAGTGGATTGGGAAGGTCAGCCTGGAGGGCGCATACTAAGGTGGTTTCAGGGGAATTAGCTAGTAATGACTAGGGGTCCATTTAAAAAATTCATCGTGAAAATTTCAAGCATCTATAAACGCAGAGAGAAGGGTATAATGAACTCCCACATACGGTCACCCAGATTGAAAGATTTTATCAGGATTTTATCATGTCTGCTTTATCCCTTCACTGCCTGGCTCTGTCTTCTTAAATATTTTAAAACAAATCCAAGACCTCTTGTCATTTCATAGGGGGCCTTAAAGAAAACAAAAAAAAAATCAACATAATCTGGTGACTGACTAGATAGAGGGCAAAAGGAGAAAAATGAGTAATGCATTTTTTCCAAGGGGTTGAGCCCAAGTAACTGGAGAAATATTGGTGATAGAGGCGTTGAGAAGTGGGGGTTGAAGAGAGAGGTCAAGCTCTGAGCATGAGGTGATGACTGGACAGTCAAAAGAAATGTGCACCGTGTACTTGGAGTCCCTGGGTGGTGCAGATGGTTAACACTTGGCTACCAACTGAAAGGTTAGAGGTGTGAATCCAGTCAGAGGTGTCTCGGAAGAAAGGCATGGTGATCTACATCTGAAAAATCCACGATTGAAAACCCTGTGGAGCACAGTTCTACTCTGACACACATGGGGTTGCCATGAGTCAGAGTAGACTCCATGGCAGCTGGTTTTTGCTTTTTTTTTTTTTTTTGGCCACTGGTTTTTAGTATATACTTGGAGATTGGACTAGAGTTTGGGAAAGAGGGCAGGATTGGAGTCATAGATGGAGAAAACATTAGCACAGAGGCGTTGAGGCAATGAAAATGGAGAGTGCTGAGAGGCGAGAACATAGAAGGAAAACAAGGTGGAGAGGTGAGCATGCAGAGGAGGAACCAACTAAAGAAACTTTCATTTTTTCTTTCAATAGCTATTTAGTGAGTGCCCTCTGTGTGTGGCACTGTTGTAGGTGTTGGGCATAGAGCAGTGATCGAAAGACACAAACTTCTTGCTCTCATGGAGATCTTGTTCTGGTGATTAGAGAGAACCAGAAGACACTGTGTCGTGAAAGCTGTCTTAGTTACTTAGTTCTGCTATAGCACAAATACCACGAGTGGGTGGCTTTAAGGAACAGAATTTTATTTTCTCACAGTTCTGGAGGCTAAAAGTCCAAATCAAAGTCTTGGCCACGTCAGTTCCTTCTGTGGGCCTCTGTCCTAGGGACTGGTGTCTACCGGCAATCCTTGTTTCCTTGGCTTGCAGATGAGCCTCACGTGTCTTCTGTCTTCCCCTGTATGTGTGTTTGTGTCTAATCTGCTGTTTTTATAACTCAGGAAGTGATTAGGTTTAGAGACCACCTTACTTGGGTATGACCTAATTACATACCAAAGAAAACCTTATTTACAAACAGAATTACATCCACAGGTATAAAACCAAAACCAAACCCGTTGCCATTGAGTCAATTCCACCTCTTGGCGACCCCATGTGTTACAGAGTAGAGTTGCTCCATAGGATTTTTTTTTTTATTATAATCTTTTTTTTTTAGTAATTTTTAAAAATTGTTGTAAAAATGTATATAAGACAACATTTGCCAATTTTGGCTGTAATCTCTATGGAAGCAGGTCAGCAGGCCTTTTTTCTGAAGCACTGCTGGGTGGGTTCAAACCACCAACTTTTAGGTCGAGTATAAACCGTTTGCACATTAGGTATAGAGGTTAGGATACCAGCACACGTTCTGGGGGGACACAATTCAATCCATAATAGAAGCCAAGGGGGAAAAGTGTTTTAAAGAGAGGATGGTGATCGACAGCGATAATTACAGCAGATGAGAAGGATGAAGGCAAAAAAACAACAGCACAGTCTTGGCACTAAGGAAATCATTTGGTAAAGCATCTGCTGTCATGTTGAGGATAAAAGGCAGCTTGCGGAAGGTTAAACAGGGAGTGTGTAGTCAGGAAACAGATGCACATTACTTGTTCTAGAAGGTTAGCAGTGTTAAGGAAGGTGAAAGCCAGGGTAGTAGCTAAAGAGGTCATGAGAAGGTGTTAGGATTGAATTGTGTCCTCCAAAAATATATGTCATAAATCCTAAACCCCTATACCTGTGCCTGTAATCCCATTTGGGAATAGGACTTTCTTTGTTATGTTAACGAGACCATTATCCTCGGTGTAGGGTGTGTCTTAAGCAAATCATCTTTGAGATCTATAAAGAGCAGATTAGGCAGAGAGAAGCAATCACAAATGAAGGGGAAAATACACACCACATGAAGATGCCAAAAACAGAGAGAGAGCCTTTCCCTAGAGCTGGCACCCTGAGTTTGGACTTCTAGCCTCTTAAACTGTGAGAAGATAAATTTCTGTTCATTAAAGTCAGTCGCTTGTGATATTTCTGTTATAGCAGCACTAAGAAACTAAGATAGAAGGTATTCCTAAAATGGGGAGAAAAACTGGGTGTTAGGAAAGGAAAGCAAAATGGCGGAGGGGCTGAAGATGGTTGAGGATGAACCGTCTTTGGCAGCCTCGTGCCTCCTGAGGACAGAGTGTTCAGTGACCTCTTCTTTGGTTTCAGGGTCCTTTGCTTGACTTGTGGTGAGCAGACTGCCCGCGGGGTGCTGCAGGGGCGTTTTGAAGTGCTGAACCCCACCTGGAGTGCTGAGGCCCATGGCCTGGCTCCCGATGGTGATGTCTTTCTCACAGATGAGGAGGTGCAAAGCTTCCAGGTCCCCTCCTGCACTCGATGTGGAGGTCCCCTGAAACCAGATGTCACCTTCTTTGGGGACACAGTGAAACCAGACAAAGTTGACTTTGTACACAAGAGGATCAAAGAAGCCGACTCCCTCTTGGTGGTGGGATCGTCCTTGCAGGTATCTGACTTGGTTAGGGTGGGAGCTGTCCCTTTGGAGGAATAGGGGGCCCTGCAGAGGCTCCCTATTTGGTTTCTCTTTTCCTGGATCTAGAGCGCTTACGTGTGTTTTCTTCTTGTTCAGGTGTACTCTGGTTACAAGTTTATCCTTACTGCCCAAGAGAAGAAGCTGCCAATTGCAATACTGAACATTGGGCCCACACGGTCAGACCACTTGGCTTCTCTGAAACTGGACTCTCGCTGTGGAGAGTTGCTGCCTTTGATAGACCCGCACTGACCACGGCCTGATGTTCCTAAGCCAGAAACAGGGACTTCCACTTGAATCCTGCTGCTAAAGGTAAATGCCTTCTCAGCTGTGAGATACCATCTGAGAGTAGGCTACACTGACAAAATATACAAGGTTCTATTCTAGCTCACAAAGAAAAAGACTAGACTTACTGGTCTGACAGAGACTGGAGAAACCCCAAGATTATGGCCCCTGGACACCCTTATAGCTCAGTAATGAAGTCATTCCTGAGGTTGACCCTTCAGCCAAAGATTAGACAGACCCATAAAACAAAACAAGACTAAATGGGTATACCAGCTCAGGGGCAAGGAGGAGAAGGCAGGAAGGGACAGGAAAGCTGGTAATGGGGAACCCAAAGTCAAGAAGGGAAGAGTGTTGACATGTCGTGGGGTTGGCAACTAATATCACAAAACAATATGTGTATTAATTGTTTAATGAGAAACTAGTTTTCTCTGTAAACCTTCATCTAAAGTATAATAATAAAATACATACAGAAGGTTCTAGGCTACTTAAGGGGCCCTGGTGGCACAATAGTTAAGAGCTTGGCTGCTAACCAAAAGGTTGGCAATATGAATCCACCAGCTGCTCCTTGGAAACTAGGGCAGCCCTACTCTGTCCTGTAGAGTCATTATGAGTCAGAATTGACTTAATGGCAGTGAGTTTGGTTTTTTTTTGTTTAGGCTTCCTAATGCTACCCAAAAGGTTGGAGGTTCAAGTCCAGCCCGAGCTGCCTCAGAAGAAAGGCTTGGCAATCTACTTCTAAAAAAAATCAGCCATTGAAAACCCTATGGAGCTTCCGTGGAGAACTGCCTCCTTTGCTAGGAGACCAGAAGAACTGGATAGTGCCCGGCTACCATAACTGAGCATTTTGATCAAGGATTCTATAGAAGAATCTTGATTAAAGGGAGGGGGGGAATGCAGAACAGAATTTCAAATTATCATGGAATCCAGACTTTCTGGAGTATGGAGGCTGGATGAACAGCCAAACTATAGCCCTGAGATAATCTTTAAACCTTAAACCAAAAATAGCCCCTAAAGTCTTCTTAAAACCAAACAATAGTTTAGTTTAACTAGTAAAGAATGTCTGCCTTGAGCATTGTGCTCTTTTAAGAACTATCTATATGGGATCAAATTGACAACAGCAACTCGGAAGATTAGCTAGGAAACTTAGGGGGAAGTGAATTTATGTTAATGAGGGAGGAAAAACTCAGAAAAGGAGGATGAGAATGGTTGTGCAACTTAATCGGTGTCACTGAATTGTACTTGTAGGAAGTGTTGAATTGGTATATGTTTTGCTGTGTATATTCTCAATACCAACAGCAAGAAATAAAATAAATTATTAAAAAAGAGAAAATCCTATGGAGCACAGTTCTACTCTGACAAACATGGGGATGCCATGAGTTGGAATTGACTCATGACAACTGGTTACTGGTTATCTTGGCATTAACTTGTTTAATTTCTTTTCAAATCCCTTGAGAATTCATCACTTCCTCCAAGCTCACTGAGTGTGGCCTGTAGAGGGCAGCAAACCAACACTCTGCCATCTGGTGTCTGAACTGGGGGAGTTTCAGAGCCAGAGTTAAGGTCTGATGAAATTTGCCCCTGAAGACTTTTTCAAGAAAGCAGCTGCTCTAGATAGAAAAATGGCATTCACTTCCTTTTCGTCTCAGTGGGCAGAAGAAATGACCAGGGAAATATGTAGGCCAGAATGGTCACTGGGGTGCCAACCCAGAGATCTCACTAAATTTGGGAGTTAGGTAGGGTAGAAGGAAGCAACTTAATTTATAATACCAAATGGTTAAGTGTCTTTAACTAATCCACTTTGATGTAGTTTTTTTTTAAATGAGCAATGACATGAATGAATTTTACTATTAACTAAGGAATAAAGGAATCTTTTTTTTTTCTTTTTTTAACAGCACATTGGGTGTGTGGGCCGCACGTTTATGTTCTTTTTTTCATCAGTTAAAAGAAAATGGGGCTTTATGACACAGTTCTCCAAGGATTTCTCTTTGGTTTCAGCTGCCAGAATGAAACACCTGCCTTGAGCCCGCCTGTAGAGAGGAAATAGTGAATTCTCGAGTGGGTTCTTAAATTGATTTGTTTCTGCTGAGGAAAGCAGCAAGACTTGTCTGATGGCTGCATTAACCAGAAAGAATCATTGTACCCAGCTAAAGCTTTCTGCACAATCTCATCAGAAAGTGAGGTGGATGAGAGAATCATAGCCTATTCCAGGGAATCTTTTGTCTAAAATTAGGGCATGCAGGACACGTTCATCTTGCACATGCGGAGGGAGCACATTTCAGTTAACTGAGATCATCCACGATCTTGACAACACAATGAGTCCTTTTCACCTGCACAATTGTAGGTTTGCTCAGAGGCAGTAATTAATTCTGAAGCCGTTTAAGGTTGTTGTAAATCTCATTCCAGGTTTTTTTGCAGGTGGGGATCCTAGGGTGCCCTGAACCAGGTTGATTTGTTCAGTTTCGCAAAGTCAGGACCAATTAAAATCTGGGTCTTTTGAATCTCAAGCCATTCTCATCCACAAATCTCATCAACAGTTATGGAAAGACTTTGTATTAAGGTACTGAGGTTACAAAGATACAACTCCTTGCCCTCAAGTGGCTCACAGAGAATTGCTATTTTCCCCCCTGATTCCCTACCAGAAAGTGTTATAGAGTCACTCGTGGAATAACTGAATTAGAGAACATTTAGTCCACCCTATCATTTTTTTTTTTTAAGGAAACTCAGATCCAGAGTTACCTAAGGCCACATTCCTAGTGATCCCATGTGTGCAGAGTAGAGCTGCATTTCACAGGGTTTTCAAGGCTGTGGCCTTTCAGAAGCAGATCGCCAGGCCTTTCTTCTGAGGCGCCTCTGGATGGGCTCAAACAGACAACCTTTCAGTTAGCAGTCGAGTGCTTAACTGTTTGCGCCACCCAGGGACTCTTTGAGTTGGAATTGACTCGATGGCAACTGGTACTGGTAAGGCCACATAACACAGTTTCAGAGCCAGGACTAGAATCTTAGTATACAGACTTCCTCTCAAGTTCTTTTTCTTTACACAACACTATCTCATTTGTCTGCAGAATGTGGGTAGAAAGAAGTCAGCCTGAAATTAAAGTAAAAGCCAGCAATACACCTGGGCGAGGAGACCAGGAATGGTTGAAATGTAATGGCATTGGAGAGCTGGTTAGGTTGCCAGGAAGACTTTCAGAACCTTAATGCTAGCACAGATCATGAAATCGAGTCTTGAAGACCTGAGGAATGTTCACTTTGTTCATATTTCCTCCCAAAATGGTAGTCTTTCCCAAAAAATGTGTCCCAAGAGGAATCCAGTATTTCCTGAAGCTGATGTTCCTCACGTCTTTCTCCTTCTTTTGCCGTCAACCAGTGTGGCAGTTCCTAACCCATTGTAGGTGCCCTCGGCTGGAGTATCAAACATCTACTTGTGGGTTCTGTCAGTCGCCACTGCCCTGGTTATGTGGTTCTGACTGCATAAGCCCAGCCTTATGCGTGACTTTGAGTTGTAGCTCTCTGTTGCTTCTGCTGTTCTGCTCGGCTATCACAGTTTAGTAAATAGAAGTCACAAAGGCAGACAGGTACATAGCACTTGAAACTTCCTTCTCATGAACTCTTATTTCTTCTTGTATGCTGTCATAAACTGAATATCATTCTTATCTCTCCCTTTTAAAAACAAAAAAAGCATTTATTGAACACATACTGTATCTGTGTTAGGCTGGGTTCTCTAGAGAACCAAAACCAGTAAAGTGTATAAATACACATATAGAGAGAGATTATATCAAGGAAACAGCTCACGCGATTGTAGAGGCTAGAAAGTCCCAAGTCCGTGGATCAGGGTAGAGGCCTCTCCCAAGT